CGGCACAGGTGTCGGTGAGAGAGGGGCCGCTGGCCTAGGCCCCAGCGGGGGGGTGTCGAGCATCTGCCGTGCAGAGGAGACTCGGTGGTCCGAGATGTGGACGCAGAGGACACCCGCACAAGCTGCATCGCGTGCTCACTGTGGTGTCCACCTACGGGGGCGCGGCCTTCCTGCAGTGCCAGGGCCAAGGAAGACGCGGGCGATTGAGGCAGAGGGAGGCTCTTCATCTCTCAGGTGTTCTGCTGCGTGTGGGCTGCACGTGAGTCCAGCCTCGGCCACTGTTTGGGCCAGAGGCGGCGGACTCTGGTGAGATGGGTGGAACGCGCCACCTATGGACCCTGGGACCCGTTCGAACACGCCCCCCTGACTGCTGACGCGACGGCAAGGCAGAGCACGTCAGGGTAGGCCACGGTTGGCTGCCCGAAGAAAGCTAAGATGACCAGAGAAGAACACATGGTGACGAAGCTAAGCCGAGGTACGCAAATATACATTCATACTCGCGTGGTCTAGCCATGCCAGGCTCTCCTGACTCCTGACGCGACGGCAAGGCAGAGCACGTCAGGGTAGACCATGGTTGGCTGCCCGAGGAAAGCTGAGGTGGCCACAGAAGAACCAATGGTGACGAAGAAGCCACGCAGGGGCAATCACATGTACGTTCATGCTCGCGCGATCTAGACATGCCAGGCTCGGGTTAGCTCTCATGTAAGCCCCGGCACGCTGGGGCTGGCTGAGGCGAGGTGCTGGCGCAAGCGGCCGAGACTAGGTACAGTACGAAATGTGGCAAGCCCAGGGAGCCGAAGGTAAGCAGAGCTGCAGCTACTAGCTTGCTGTGCAGCCAGGAGGGGGGGTGCTGCACGGGAATCGCTAAACAAACGTATCACGAATCAGATACACGTGCTCGGATTTCCATGCGTCTCGACGCACTGAGCTCGACCATGCATCGACGAAGAAGCATGGCAGTGGGGCGGTAATGGGCTGCATCCACCAGGTTTCGCCCACACCCCCTCGGAACCCCCAAAGTAGCACATGGTCGAAACATGATCACTGCCATCACGAGGCCACGCGCAAGCGCGCCAGAGTGACCCGGGGCGAACCCAAGCGCACAAGCCGCCGCTATCGTATCGCAGCCAGCGATCGGGGGGCACCAGTGGGCCAGCACCGAAGGTCACTCCAGCGAAGGGCCCCTCTGACGTGCAGTCGGGTCGGACCCCGGCCTGGCCCCGCGGGCCCCTGCGCCGAAAAACAGAGGAGCGAAGGGGCGTGCCTCCTCCACGGCGGCCTCGTCCGACCCCGCGCGCGCCGCCTGCTCCTGCGCCAGCTCCCCCCTCAGCCTCAGGGCCTCGCGGGCCCGGCGGTGCTCTCTGCTGCGCCACGCTGCCCCCACCCCCCCCTTCCTCCCCCCAGCAGCGGCCGGGGCGGGCAGGTCGCGAGGTGGGAGGCCCCAGGCCCCAAGGGGTGGGGCGGGCCTCCTCCTCGGCGGCCTGGACTCGCTCGTCCGCCTCCGCGCGTGCCCCCTGCTCCTGGGCGAGCTCCGCCTTCAGCCGCGCGGCCTCACGGGCCCGCGTCGCTCCCAGCACGCCGCCGCCCGAGCGCGCACGGGGAAGGGGGGGGGAGAGGACGGCACAGGTGTCGGTGAGAGAGGGGCCGCTGGCCTAGGCCCCAGCGGGGGGGTGTCGAGCATCTGCCGTGCAGAGGAGACTCGGTGGTCCGAGATGTGGACGCAGAGGACACCCGCACAAGCTGCATCGCGTGCTCACGACCTTCCTGCAGTGCCAGGGCCAAGGAAAACGCGGGCGATTGAGGCAGGGGGGAGGCTCTTCACCTCTCAGGTGTCCTGCTGCACGTGGGCTGCACGCGCGTCCTGCCTCGGCCACTGTTTGGGCCAGATGAGGCGGACTCTGGTGAGATGGGTGGAACGCGCCACCCCGATCCAGATGACTGACCACCTATGGACCCTGGGACCCGTTCGAACACGCCCCCCTGACTCCTGACGCGACGGCAAGGCAGAGCACGTCAGGGTAGGCCATGCTGAGGTGGCCAGAGAAGAACCAATGGTGACGAAGCTACGCGAAGGCAAGCACATGTACGTTCCTACTCGCGTGGTCTAGCCATGCCAGGCTCGGGTTAGCTCTCATGTAAGCCCTGGCGCGCTGGGGCTGGCTGGGGCGAGGTGCTGGCGCAAGCGGCCGAGACGAGACACAGCACGATATGCGGCAAGCCCAGGGAGGCGAAGGTAAGCAGAGCTGCAGCTACGCGCTTGCTGTGTAGCCGGGAGGGGATCGGGGCTACGACCAAACGTATCACGAATCAGATACACGTGCTCGGATTTCCATGCGTCTCGACGCACTGGGCGCGACCATGCATCGAGGAAGAAGCATGGCAGTGGGTCGGCAATGAGCTGCATGCACCAGGTTTCGCCTGTCCCCCCCCATTCCCTCGGACCCCCGAGATGGCACGTGGTCGAAGAATGATCACTGCCATCACTGGGCCAGGCGCACACGCGCCAGAGTGACCCTCGGCAAGGGTGACTCTTGGTGCGCGGCTTTAGGGGGAGGGCGCGGGGGGAGGGGGGGCGAACCCAAGCGCACAAGCCGCCGCTATCGTATCGCAGCCAGCGATCGGGGGGCACAAGTGGGCCAGCACCGAAGATCACTCCAGCGAAGGGCCACTCTGACGTGCAGTCGGGTCGGACCCCGGCCTGGCCCCGCGGGCCCCTGCGCCGAAAAACAGAGGAGCGAAGGGGCGTGCCTCCTCCACGGCGGCCTCGTCCGACCCCGCGCGCGCCGCCTGCTCCTGCGCCAGCTCCCCCTTCAGCCTCAGGGCCTCGCGGGCCCGGCGGTGCTCTCTGCTGCGCCACGCTGCCCCCACCCCCCCCCCCTCCTCCCCCCAGCAGCGGCCGGGGCGGGCAGGTCGCGAGGTGGGAGGCCCCAGGCCCCAAGGGGTGGGGCGGGCCTCCTCCTCGGCGGCCCGGACTCGCTCGTCCGCCTCCGCGCGTGCCCCCTGCTCCTGGGCGAGCTCCGCCTTCAGCCGCGCGGCCTCGCGGGCCCGCGTCGCTCCCAGCGCGCCGCCGCCCGAGCGCGCACGGGGAAGGGGGGGAGAGGACGGCACAGGTGTCGGTGAGAGAGGGGCCACTGGGCTAGGCCCCAGCGGGGACGAGCATCTGCCGTGCAGAGGGGACTCGGTGGTCCAAGATGTGGGCGAAGAGAACACCCGCGCAAGCTGCATCGCGTGCTCACTGTGGTGCCCACCTGCCGGGGCGCGGCCTTCCCGCAGTGCCAGGGCCAAGGAAGACGCGGGCGATTGAGGCAGGGGTGAGGCTCTTCACCTCTCAGGTGACATGCTGCGTGTGGGCTGCACGTGCGTCCTGCCTCGGCCACAGTTTGGGCTAGAGGCGGCGGACTCTGGTGAGCTAGGTGGAACGCGCCACCCAGATCCAGCTGACTGACCACCTATGGACCCTGGGACCCGTTCGAACACGCCCCCCTGACTGCTGACGCGACGGCAAGGCAGAGCACGTCAGGGTAGGCCATGGTTTGGCTGCCCGAGGAAAACTGAGGTGGCCAAAGAAGAACCAATGATGACGAAGCTAAGCCGAGGTAAGCACATGTGCGTTCATACTCGCGTGTTCTAGCCATGCCAGACACAGGTGTCGGTGAGAGAGGGGCCGCTGGGCACGGCCCCAGCGGGGACGAGCATCTGCCATGCAGAGAGGGCTCAGTGGTCCGAGATGTGGACGAAGAGGACACCCGCACAAGCTGCATCGCGTGCCCACTGTGGTGTCCACCTGCGGGGGCGCGGCCTTCCTGCAGTGCCAGGGCCAAGGAAGACGCGGGCGATTGAGGCAGGGGGGAGGCTCTTCACCTCTCAGGTGTCCTGCTGCACGTGGGCTGCACGTGCGTCCTGCTTCGGCCACGATTCGGGCCAGAGGCGGCGGACTCTGGTGAGCTAGGTGGAACGCGCCACCCAGATCCAGCTGACTGACCACCTATGGACCCTGGGACCCGTTCGAAAAGGCCCTCCTGACTCCTGACGCGACGGCAAGGCAGAGCACGTCAGGGTAGGCCATGGTTTGGCTGCCCGAGGAAAGCTGAGGTGGCCAAAGAAGAACCAATGGTGACGAAACTACGCGAAGGCAAGCACATGTACGTTCATACTCGCGTGGTCTAGCCATGCCAGGCTCGGGTTAGCTCTCATGTAAGCCCTGGCGCGCTGGGGCTGGCTGGGGCGAGGTGCTGGCGCAAGCGGCCAAGACGAGACACTACACGATATGAGGCAAGCCCAGGGAACCGAAGGCAAGCAGAGATGTAACTACGCGCTTGCTTTGTAGCCGGGAGGGGATCGGGGCTACGACCAAACGTATCACAAATCAGATACACGTGCTCGGATTTCCATGCGTCTCGACGCACTGGGCGCAACCATGCATCGAGGAAGAAGCATGGCAACGGGCGGGAATGAGCTGCATGCACCAGGTTTCGCCCGTTCCCCCCCCCGCTCCCTCGGACCCCCGAGATGGCACGTGGTCGAAGAATGATCACTGCCATCACTAGGCCACGCGCACACGCGCCAGAGTGACCCCCGGCAAGAGTGACTCTTGGTGCGCGGCTTTAAGGGCAGGGCGCGGGGGGAGGGGGGGCGAACCCAAACGCACAAGCAGCCGCTATCGTATCGCAGCCAACTATCGGGGGACACCAGTGGGTCAGCACCGAAGATCACTCCAGCGAAGGGTCACTCTGACGTGCAGTCGGGTCGGAGCCCGGCCTGGCCCCGCGTGCCCCTGCGCCGAAAAAGAAAAGGAGCGAAAGAGCGTGCCTCCTCCACGGCGGCCTCGTCCGACCCCGCGCGCGCCGCCTGCTCCTGCGCCAGCTCCCCCTTCAGCCTCAGGGCCTCGCGGGCCCGCCGGTGATTTCTGCTGCGCCACGCTGCCCCACCCCCCTCCTCCCAGCAGCGCCCGGGGCGGGCAGGTCGCGGGGTGGGAGGCCCCAGGCCCTAAGGGGTGGGGCGGGCCTCCTCCTCGGCGGCCTGGACTCGCTCGTCCGCCTCCGCGCGTGCCCCCTGCTCCTGGGCGAGCTCCGCCTTCAGCCGCGCGGCCTCGCGGGCCCGCGTCGCTCCCAGCGCGCCGCCGCCCGAGCGCGCACGGGGAAGGGGGGGGAGAGGACGGGACAGGTGTCGGTGAGAGAGGGGCCGCTGGCCTAGGCCCCAGCGGGGACGAGCATCTGCCATGCAGAGGGGACTCGGTGGTCCGAGATGTGGGCGAAGAGAGCACCCGCGCAAGCTGCATCGCGTGCTCACTATGGTGTCCACCTACGGGGGCGCGGCCTTCCTGCAGTGCCAGGGCCAAGGAAGACGCGAACGATTGAGGCAGGGGGGAGGCTCTTCACCTCTCAGGTGTCCTGCTGCACGTGGGCTGCACGTGCGTCCTGCCTCGGCCACGATTCGGGCCAGAGGCGGCGGACTCTGGTGAGCTAGGTGGAACGCGCCACCCAGATCCAGCTGACTGACCACCTATGAACCCTGGGACCCGTTCGAACACGCCCCCCTGACTCCTGACGCGACGGCAAGGCAGAGCACGCCAGGGTAGACCATGGTTGGCTGCCCGAGGAAAGCTGAGGTGGCCACAGAAGAACCAATGGTGACGAAGCCACGCAGGGGCAATCACATGTACGTTCATGCTCGCGTGGTCTAGCCATGCCAGGCTCGGGTTAGCTCTCATGTAAGCCCCGGCACGCTGGGGCTGGCTGGGGCGAGGTGCTGGCGCAAGCGGCCGAGACTAGGTACAGCACGAAATGTGGCAAGCCCAGGGAGCCGAAGGTAAGCAGAGCTGCAGCTACTAGCTTGCTGTGCAGCCAGGAGGGGGGGTGCTACACGGGAATCGCTAAACAAACGTATCACGAATCAGATACACGTGCTCGGATTTCCATGCGTCTCGACGCACTGAGCGCAACCATGCATCGAGGAAGAAGCATGGCAGTGGGGCGGTAATGAGCTGCATCCACCAGGTTTCGCCCACACCCCCTCGGAACCCCCAAAGTAGCACATGGTCGAAGAATGATCACTGCCATCACGAGGCCACGCGCAAGCGCGCCAGAGTGACCCGGGGCGAACCCAAGCGCACAAGCCGCCGCTATCGTGACGCAGCCAGCGATCGGGGAGCACCAGTGGGCCAGCACCGAAGATCACTCCAGCGAAGGGTCACTCTGACGTGCAGCGGGTCGGAGCCCGGCCTGGCCCCGCGGACCCCTGCGCCGAAAAAGAAAAGGAGCGAAAGAGAGTGCCTCCTCTACGGCGGCCTCGTCCGACCCCGCGCGCGCCGCCTGCTCCTGCGCCAGCTCCCCCCTCAGCCTCAGGGCCTCGCGGGCCCGCCGGCGCTTTCTGCTGCGCCACGCTGCCCCCGCCCCCCCCTCCTCCCCCCATCAGCGGCCGGGGCGGGCAGGTCGCGAGGTGGGAGGCCCCAGGCCCTACGGGGTGGGGCGGGCCTCCTCCTCGGCGGCCTGGACTCGCTCGTCCGCCTCCGCGCGTGCCCCCTGCTCCTGGGCGAGCTCCGCCTTCAGCCGCGCGGCCTCGCGGGCCCGCGTCGCTCCCAGCGCCGCCGCCCGAGCGCGCACGGGGAGGGGGGGGGAGAGGACGGCACAGGTGTCGGTGAGAGAGGGGCCGCTGGGCTAGGCCCCAGCGGGGACTGTCGAGCATCTGACATCAAGAGGGGACTCGGTGGTCCGAGATGTGGACGAAGAGAGCACCCGCGCAAGCTGCATCGCGTGCTCACTGTGGTGCCCACCTATGGGGGCGCGTCCTTCCTGCAGTGCCAGGGCCAAGGAAGACGCGGGCGATTGAGGCAGGGGGGAGGCTCTTCACCTCTCAGATGACATGCTGCGTGTGGGCTGCACGTGCGTCCTGCCTCGGCCACTGTTTGGGCCAGAGGCGGCGGACTCTGGTGAGATGGGTGGAACGCGCCACCTATGGACCCTGGGACCCGTTCGAACACGCCCCCCTGACTCCTGACGCGACGGCAAGGATGAGCACGTCAGGGTAGGCCACGGTTGGCTGCCCGAAGAAAGCTAAGGTGACCAGAGAAGAACGAATGGTGACGAAGCTAAGCCGAGGTACGCAAATGTACATTCATACTCGCGTGGTCTAGCCATGCCAGGCTCGGGTTATCTCTCATGTAAGCCCCCGCGCGCTGGGGCTTCCTGGGGCGAGGTGCTGGCGCAAGCGGCCGAGACTGGATAGAGCACGATATGCGGCAAGCACAGGGAGTCGAAGGTAAGCAGAGATGCAGCTACTAGCTTACTGTGCAGCTTGGAGGGGGGGAGCTACACGGGAACAGCTAAACAAACGTATCACGAATCAGAAACACGTGCTCGGATTTCCATGCGTCTTGACGAACTGGGCGCAACCATGCATCGAGGAAGAAGCATGGCAGTGGGGCGGTAATGGGCTGCATCCACCAGGTTTCGCCCACACCCCCTCGGAACCCCCAAAGTAGCACATGGTCGAAGAATGATCACTGCCATCACGAGGCCACCCGCAAGCGCGCCAGAGTGACCCGGGGCGAACCCAAGCGCACAAGCAGCCGCTATCGTATCGCAGCCAGCGATCGGGGGACACCAGTGGGTCAGCACCGAAGATCACTCCAGCGAAGGGTCACTCTGACGTGCAGTCGGGTCGGAGCCCGGCCTGGCCCCGCGTGCCCCTGCGCCGAAAAAGAAAAGGAGCGAAAGAGCGTGCCTCATCCACGGCGGCCTCGTCCGACCCCGCGCGCGCCGCCTGCTCCTGCGCCAGCTCCCCCTTCAGCCTCAGGGCCTCGCGGGCCCGGCGGTGCTCTCTGCTGCGCCACGCTGCCCCGCCCCCCTCCCCCCAGCAGCGGCCGGGGTGGGCAGGTCGCGAGGTGGGAGGCCCCAGGCCCGAGGAGTGGGGCGGGCCTCCTTCTCGGCGGCCTGGACTCGCTCGTCCGCCTCCGCGCGTGCCCCCTGCTCCTGGGCGAGCTCCGCTTTCAGCCGCGCGGCCTCGCGGGCCCGCGTCGCTCCCAGCGCGCCGCCGCCCGAGCGCGCACGGGGAGGGAGGGGAGAGGACGGCACTGGGCCTCTTGAAGGCTTCCCTTGGCTGAAGCCAGTTTTTGTTTCGGAAGCTGCACGCAGCAGAGAGCCTTTTACATACCAAAAGGACAGTGTAGTCCGAGATGCGGGCGAAGAGAACACAACGCAAGCTGTATCACAGCTGCTTCGCAGGATGCCAGCTACTGTGGCGGTGTGCTCGCTGTGTTGCCCACTGACGGGGCAATGACCTTCGTGCGCAGGCAGGGCAAACTGCTCATCTTTCAAGTGTCCAATTGTGTGGATTGCCGTGCCTGTTCGCCCTGTTTCCGCCGCTGATTGGGACAGAAGCGGCGGACTCTGGCGAAATATCTGGCACCTATCAACCAAACCCATCTGACTGGACACCCCTGGGCCCTGGGACCCGTTCGAAAACGCCTTCCTGACGCGAAGTCCAGCTAGGGCACGACAGGATAGGTCATTGTTGGCCGCTCCAGGAAAAAGGAAGGTAAGGTGCTGTATACTATGGCGCGAAAGCGATACAATCATAGTGAGCCAGCGTGGGCCCCAAACCTTGAATGTAGACTGGAATGTGGTGTAAACATGATGTGATATATGGCGCAATAGATGTATTGTATTGGACGTTGCTATGTACTGCCATGTGTGTGCCGTGTACAATGTATGATGTGCTGAACATACCGTATACAACCAATGTGGTGCCACACATGATGTGTAACACATGTGGTGCAGCCTACGCCATGCAATATACGTGGCAATAATGTGTATATATATATATGTATATATGTATATATGTGTGTGTATGTATATACGCGTGTGCGTGGCGAATCATGTGTGGTGCAATGTCTGCTGGCATTCAATGTGTTGCAGTATACGTGGTGCAATACATGCGGAGCCATCTATATGGTACAATTCATGTGTGAAGCCCGCCGTTGTCAACTCCACTCGTCGCGCAACCATCCCACCCACCCACCTGCAACGTGCTTCGCAACACAAATGCGGCAGCGATTGCGATGAGCGTTTCGTGTTGACTGGTGCATATGTGCAGCCGCGCAAGCCCGCGCATGCTCGCGCGCGCAGCGGCCAGCTAGTTAGGCGCGACCAACGCGGCCACGGTGGCGTTGACTTCTGGGCAGTTCACAGCGGGCACCCCAGTGCGAAACAACCACTTGGGCGGGCGCAGTATCATGGCAACGTCAACAACAGTAGACACGATGGTGATAGCAGCGACGTTGTGGCGATGATGACGACGGCGACGGCGCGGCCAGCGACGGCGCCAATGCTAATCACGCCGAGGGCGTTGACGGCGTCCTCGCGTCGGCGACGAAAGGTTTGGAAGGAGTTCGACATGCGCGCGCGGACGGCGCGCGACAGTGGCCCACATGGTATTATTTGACACGGGTCGTGACCCCTAGCGGCGCGAAGGGATGGCTTGGCCGAGTGTACTGACATGGTGAAACAAACCGATGGTTCCCCTGAGAAATCGCAAGGGCGCGAGCGCATTTGGTTGTCGCTTGTGTTGCAAAACCATTCATTCTAGATATATATATATATATATATATATATATATATAATATATATATATATATATCAATGTGTTCGAGGAGTGTGATCGTTTTTGACATCGTGTCGAAACCCAAGTTTGTTGAAGGTCCTCCGCATGCGCGCGCGAACACGTCCGCGACAGCACGCGCGAAAGGGCGTTCGAACGGTTTCGACACGCGAGCAAAAGAGGGCCATCTGGAACCAATGTATGAGAATGTTGAAAAGTAGGCGGTTCCTTAAGGATTCGCCAAAACACGAACGCAAACGGTTTTTGAAAATCCGTGTTGCGAAACCATGTGCTTGTTAGATGTGTTGCGGACATTTGGTGTTCACATCCCCAAGCAACCCATGACCTTGAAGAAGTGCGGCATGCGCTCGCGACGACGCGCGCGTATGCAGTTCTTCATACATGTTCCAAGGGTTCTTGGGGAACGTAGGATTTGTGATCAGCACATGCGCGCATATGCTTTGGCTAAGATAAAACAGGGGCGTTACTGGCCTGGCTGGGATCATATGAACTCATATGTCGGATGGGCGATGGGGCAGAGTCATGTAAATTGCAATACGAAAAGGTAATCGGCTAAATCGGGGGGGGGGTACATCCGAATACTTTCTTTAAAACGACAATCCAATACTTCAGAACTTCAGGCTGTCAACTCCAGTACTCGCGCAATCATCCCACCCACCCACCCGCAACTTGGTTTACGAAATCCATGCGGCGGCGATTGCGATGACTGCTTGGCGCTGGCTGGCGCATCGATGAAGCGCAATATGTGGTGCGCCATATTTGTTAAACAGTTGCAGGTTATGTTGTGCGGCGACGATGCGGCGACGGAGAGCAAGTAGCGGCCAGTCCGCCAGCCAGACCCACACGACGGGCGGCGACGAGGCGGCGACGGGGCGGCGACGGCAAGCACGGAGCCGACAGATCGCAAGCCAGGCCCGGACGACGGGCGGCGAGAAGCGGCGACGGAGCGGCGACGGCGAGCACGGAGCCGCCAGACCGCCAGCCAGGCCCATATCCTCAGAAAAGAAACAGAAACCCCTAAGTGCAAGCACTGTCCTGGAAAAAGTGTTAAGTATGCTCCAGCTGCTTCCCAAGACACGAAGGCTCCGCCTTGATCGTGCAAGCACGGATGCGCATGGGATCGCTCAAGCAAGCTGCTCTGGCTAACCGCTGAGGCAAGCTGTACTAGCTGCAACGGGCCCCAGAGGCGAAGGTGCTGCATAAGACGAAGGGTCAAGCGCCGTGCCGCAAGCGTTTGGGTGAGTGGAGAGCCCTCAGCTTTCCGAGTCCTCAACGGTCCTCAGCGCTGGAAAAATTGGGTCTGGTATTTTTGAACACGTGGGGGGCCCAGATCCCCAACTCATAGGATTCCTGGGCGCTCTCGGAATTCGCCGCATGACCTTCCACGAGACCACACAGGTGCTCTTTGGGGGGCCTACAACATCAAACATGCCGCAAGGTGCTAAGATGGTCCCTGTGACCTGGACGGCACGAAGAAATCTTGGGGGTCCATGGGGCCGTCTTGAATTTTGAAGCCTGGGGGCCAGCCCATTAGTTTAGCAAAATATCGCCTCTTCTGTCGAGCGCCCAAGACGGCCCAAGAGGCCCCTAAAACTGGTCTGAGACGGTCCTCGAGGCTCCCAAGAGCAGCTCAAAAGGCCCCCAAGATAGCGCCAAAGGGAGCCAATAATGCGCGCCATCTCAAGACCGCTGGAAGAGTCCCCTCCAAGATTGCCCCAAGACCCCAGAAGCCCCAAAGAGGCTCTCAAGAGCCCCTAGTTCCTAAGAGGCTCCCAGGAGGCGCAGAAGAGGCCCCGAATAGCAAAGGCCCACCGGAGTCCAAAGAAGTACTTACACAGTGAAATGGTCTGACCCAAGAGGACAAAATCATTGAAGCCCAATTCGAGGTTTCAATGACTTTCGGATTCTGCTCTTATCATTCTTCGTAATGTCCAGGGCGGCGTAGTCTCAAGACTAGCCTAAGACAGCACCACAGGGCCCCACTATTGCCTCACCACGGCCCAGGAGACTCCATCCTGGACCGTCTTGGGCCACCTTGAGCCATATTGGAGGTTATCTTGGGTCATGTTCACCGTCTTGGATACGGGCCTTGAGGGGATTGTGCGCGGCTTCGCGCACGCTAAGCCGACCAGTATCCGCAGACAGTTCGAAGGAACGACAAGAACGGCCCAATACGCTCCAAAGTTGTCCCAACACCCACGAGGCATCCAAGAGTCCAGGATAGCCCCACAGAGGACCCTATAGGGGCCCCAGTAGGAAGAAGCCCCCGGGCGGCCCCAAGAGGGACCCCAACAGGACAACGCGAGCACCATTTGCACCCCGAAGCCTTCATGCGAAGCTTCGAGGAGCACGCAGCCTCCTCCTCCTCCTCCTCCTCCTCCTCCTCCTTCTCCTCCTCCTCCTCCTCCTCCTCCTCCTCCTCCTCCTCATCGTCTCCCTTCATCTCTCCCTCCCCCACGTGTTCACCCAAGGGTTTCCACAACGGCTGAGGCAGCAAATCGTCCAACAGCCTGGCCAAACCTTGCCTCGACGTCTGGCCGCAGAGTCGCCTCCTCGAGGCAGGGGGCGGCGGTGGTTCGCCGCAGGCGTCTTCGATCGCCGCGAAGCCGCCTCGGAGCCTGCAGGGTCGGGCGTGGTACAGAGCCAGGCGGGAGCGGCGCATGCCAGCAAGCGAGGAGGAGGAGGAGGAGGAGGAGGAGGAGGAGGAGGAGGAGGAGGAGGAGGAGGAGTAGGAGGAGGAGGAGGAGGAGGAGGAGGAGGAGGAGGGGGGGCGAACGTCACGCCGCCGTGGAGGCCCCCAGGGCCCCATCGGCGTGTTACTGTCGATGCGCGCTGCCTGGTTCGGACGAAGAGCGAGGGCGTAACACGCCGATGGGGCCCCGGGGGCCCCCCGCGGCGGCGTGACAGTGATACTCTCTCGCCCCCCCGAAGAAGGGCGCGCACTCCCACCGAGCCCAGAAGCTGCGACGCTGGGAGCCCGCGCCCAAGCCTGCCTGGCCTCCCTGCCAGAGGCGCGAGGAGCATCGAGAGGCGGGCCTCCTCCGCAGCGGCCTGGGCCTGCTCGTCGGCCCCCGCACACGCCGCCTCTTCCTGCGTCAGCCGGCCCTTCAGCCTCGTGGCCTCGCGGGCCCGCGGCGCTCTCTCGCGCGCCGTGCCCCCTCCTCATAAAAGGGGGCAGGCGGTGGTCTCGAGGCATGGGAAGGCTTCCAAGAGGGCAGGGGAGCCTCTGAGAAGCCTTCCTGCACTCCGATACGCCCCCCTAGCAGCCGCTGGACTCCACTGGGAAGCCCCCAGCCTTCTGTGCAAGGACGACCCCCTATCTCACTCCACCCCCTTTAAGCGCGCAGCAAAAGCCACCCCGCCCACCCCGCCCACCCCGCCGCCTCCCCGACGCCTTCCCCATCCGCCCACCGGCGCAAGAGCAAGCGCCAGCAGTACTTCTATCCAAGGGCCCAGGGCCTGGAAATCCAACCGGAGCTCCATCGCAACGCCCGAGGCGGCGAGGTGCCGAAATGCGCAATTGGGGGCCTTCCTGGCTTGCCGGGATCCAGACTGACGTGGGCTCACGAATCCTGCAACAACAAAAAAACATCAAACGCAACGACGCCCAAGAGCGAGGGAGGAGATCGGGCCGCCGCCCGTGAGGAGTCACCGACAGAGCGCCCACATGGGCAGCAAGCAGAAGGTCCCTGCCCAGCCAGGGCATCCAGGCGGGACTCGCAGTGGAGCTCGTGCGGCACTAAACTGCCACGGTGGCCATGGGAAGAGGAATAGAGAGAGAGGGGGAGGGATATATAGAGAAAGAGAGAGAGAGAGAGAACAACAAAAACAAAGGGAGAGAGAGAGAGAGAGAGAAGGAGAGCGGTGGATTCACACAGAAACTACCTCAAACTAGCATTTGCTTGGCCGTGCAAAACCCATGATTGAGCCAAGCTCAAATCCGCCAAAGGCAGCTCGGGCAGGCTGCCGGGGCACTCTGGTGGGGGCTTGCAGGCGTGAGCCGTGGGCTGTGGCAAGCCGGAGGAGCAGGCACTCCAAAGAGCCACGGCCCTCTGCGGGGCCTGCGGGGTCGGGCGGGCACGGGGCCGAGCGGGCAATGGCGGGACTGGTGCGCGCGTCCTCCTCCTCCTCCTCCTCCTCCTCCTCCTCCTCCTCCTACTCCTCCTCCTCCTCCTCCTCCTCCTCCTCCTCCTCCTCCTCCTCCTCCTCCTCCTCCTCCTCCTCCTCCTCCTCCTCCTCCTCTTCCTCCTCCTTCCCTTCCCCCCGGCATCGGCCAGGGCGGAAAAAGTGGTTTTCCCGCCCTGGCCGATGCCAACCCGCGAGTGTAAGTCGCGAGTTGGAGGGCCCCGGGGCCCAAAGGGGTGGGGCGAGCCTCCTCCTCGGCGGCCCGGGCTTGCTCGTCGGCCTCCGCTCGGGCCGCCTGCTCCCCAGCCAGCTCGCCCTTCAGCCTCACAGCCTCGCGGGCTCACGGCACCCTCGCGGGCTCGCGGCACCCCCCTGACTTCGGGAAAACAAGAGGTACCGATACCGCCACTCCCTGGAACTTTCCCTGGGCGCGCTCTGACCAGCGATCCAGCGATGGCGACGAGGGACTCCGAGGAAGCCCGGAATGACCGAAAACGAGGCAAGGGTAGCGCTATGGGTACACGTCGGTCGGAAGAAGTAGGTATAAGCATGAAGTAGGAAGGCGGCTAAAGTAGGTTGGGCCCAGACCCTCCCAGAGAAAAACAGGCCACAGCAGAAGTAGCTCGATCCTTGAAGTAGGAAGGGGCGCCTGAAGCAGATTGGGCTGTGGAGGAATCCAAAAAACCTACGTGCAACGACCGGCGTGCACCACTGCCTCCTCTGCTCTCTCTCTCTCTTTCTATTTCCCTCTTTCGTCCCCGTCGCCCCCGGCCACGGCCAACCGCGCTCCGGCTGCTGAGCCCGACGCACAGACCAGGGCTCAGCCGCTGCCGCCGGCTTCATGCGCCCCTGGCTCAGTCCGCGCAGCCCCGTGGCAGTCGTGCGCCAGCCTTGCCACGCCCAAGCACGAGCGCCGCGCCTGCCTGGCCAGTGGGCCTCCCACTGCGGCAGCTGTTGCCAGCAGCGCTTCTGGCCTGGCCCCCTCCTCTGCCGCCCGACCGAGCCGAGCCCCGCTGGCCAGGCCCCTCCCCTGTCGGTCGACGGGCCTCCGCGGCGACGCCCGCCGTCGCCCCCGAGCCTGAGCCTGTGCCCACGCGAGGCACTCACCGCCGCGCGGACCTCGCCACGCACCTTGCCCGCAGGGCTGCTGCCCGCCCGCCTCTCCTCATGCTCCACGTCCTGCCCATGGGTCGAGCCGCAGAGCCCCGGGCGTCGTACGACCGCCAGAGTTTCCAGTACGCCGCGCTTTCGCGCCAGGGGTTTTGTTCCTTGGCCTCCCAGCAGGGCCTGCCTGTGCAACGCCTTCGCCGCGCTCAGGCTGCCCCCGCCTCTCTCCGACCCTCGCCTCCGCCCGACGGGGCGCCACGCGTCTCAACACTGCACGACCTTCTCGGTGCCAGGCGTGCCCGCATAGGGCCTCCACCACGGCCGTAGACGCCGCTTCTTGCCAGCCCGATTGCACGCGAGGCAAAGCATCGGGGCCCGGCTGCGGCGGCGGGGGGCGCCCCGTCGTTCGCATGCCGCTCAGCGGTCAAGCCCCTGTCCCCCGGCCGTCAACCGGGGCTTCGCGTACCTGGGCCCTTTTCCCGAGCGGGGCGCAGAAAGACGTGGCGTATCGCATGCTCACCACCTTGTCTTTTGCCTCAGTCGCTTAGCGCCGGGGGTGGCTGTTTCAACACCACCCGTTCCCCAAGGTGTGTACCACCGCCGAGAGTGCGATGGCGGCCTCGGCTACCGCAGTAGCCAGCTGTCGACGGGACTCCAGTTTACGTGTCCGATATCTCTTTCTCTCCCTCTCTACCGTTGATTGTGTTTTTTATCTCTCTCTCTCCCTCTCTTGAGTAAGCAGACAAGGACCCCTGACCCTTTGGGAGGAAACATAAGTTAGGAGGGCCGAGCACAATCAACATATAGGCTCTTCCCTGCAGATGTATCGAACCAAACCGCCAGGTCGATGATCCCGAATGCACAAATGGGGACCTCAGCGAGGCCACGTCTTCACTGAGTGATTAGGGTCAGGGGATCTGCTATCCTGGGTGATCTCGCTCTCTCTCTCTCTCTCTCTCTCTCTCTCTCTCTTCTTTCGCACCATCCCTCTCTCGCACCCTGCGGCCTCCCGCCACTGGGACGCGCGGTCGCTCGGGAAAAGGCGGGGTGAGAGCCTCCTCCTCGGCGGCCCGGGCTCGCTCGCCCGCGCCCGCGCTCACCGCCTGCTCCTCGGCGAGCTCCCCCTTCAACCTCACAGCCTGGCGCGCGCGGTGCCACGAGGAGGAGGAGGAGGAGGAGGAGGAGGAGGAGGAGGAGGAGGGAGGAGGAGGAGGAGGAGGAGGAGGAGGGGAGGAGGAGGGGAGGAGGAGGAGAGGAGGAGGAGGAGGAAGGAGAGAAGGAGGAGGAGGAGGAGGAGGAGGAGGAGGAGGAGGAGCCCCCCCCTCCCAGCAGCAGCGGCCAGGGCAGCGAAGTCGCGAGTTGGAGGGCCCCAGGCCCGAGGCGGGTGGGGCGGGCCTCCTCCTCGGCGGCCTGGGCTCGCTCGCCCGCGCCCGCGCGCGCCGCCTGCTCCTCGGCGAGCTCCCCCTTCAGCCTCGCGGCCTCGCGCGCCCGCGGTGCCCCCGCCCCTCCCCCCAACATCGGCCAGAAAGAGACCGAACACTATAATGCACCGACGCTTTTTTTTCCGGCCCCGGACTGGAACTCGCAGACGGGAAAGCGAATACTGGTGTACGTATACGGGATCCACGTGTACACATTGGTCGTCGCTTCCCCGGGAAAGCGGGGAGACAAGTATACACCACACCACCCCGACGTCGTCCCCCCCGACCCGCACAAAAGCCTTGGGGGGTTGAAGAGCAGCTGGCCAGCGGTAATGTCTATGCTCCCGTTCCTGAGCCAGGGCGGAGCACGCGGTGGAGGACCCCGGGCCCCACAGTGGGGTGGGGCGGGCCTCCTCCTCGGCGGCCTGGGCTCGCTCGCCCGCCTCCGCGCGCGCCGCCTGCTCCTCGGCGAGCTCCCCCTTCAGCCGCGCGGCCTCGCGCGCCCGCGGTGCCCCCGAGGAGGAAGAGGAGGAGGAGGAGGAGGAGGAGGAGGAGGAGGAGGGGAGGGAGGAGGAGGAGGAGGAGAAGGAAGGAGGAGGAGGAGGAGCAGCAGCCCCCACCCACCCACCCCAGCAGCGGCCAGGGCTCCCCCTTCAGCCGCGCGGCCTCGCGCGCCCGCGCCCGCTCGGGGCGCGCCGCGCCCGGGCGCTGCGAGGGGGGAGGGCGGGGCGGCGAGGGCAGGGCAGCAGGCGGCGGTGAGCATGGCGGCTGCCCTCCCCCCCCCCCCCCCCCCCCCCCCCCTCCTGGGGTCGCTCCCCCACCCTCCCTCCTCCCTCCCTCCTCCCTCCCTCCTCCCAACCTCCCCTCCCTCCCTCCTCCACCCTCCCTCCCACCCTCCCTCCCTCCCCCCCTCCCTCCTCCCTCCCTCCTCCTCCCTGCTCCCTCCCTCTCCTCCCTCCCGCCTCCCTCCCCCCTCCCTCCCGAGCTGATGAGTGGAGGACGAAGGCTGGTCCCCCCCCCCGGAGGCCTAAGGGGACCGCGCGCACAGGCAGCCCCCCGTCGAGGTGGTCCCAGCGGGGCTCCACACGCCCTCCCACACATACACACACACACACACACCGCGTGGCCACGGGGGCGGCCGCAGCACCCCCGGCCCTGGGGCGCGGAACGCCGGGGCGCCGCCAGGGGCGGCGCCCGGGTGTTGAGAACGGTGCGATGCTGGACCGCCCATGCCTGCCATACGACTGCGCCAAAGACTTTCCTTGACCACGCCGGCGCAAGCGCCCGAGCCCCCAAGGACGCCCCTGAGCCCCGAAGGGCGACCCCAGAGTGCCACAATCCGCGCACGGCCCGCCCCGCATTCGTCCCCCTCCCCCTGGCCCCTCCCCTGGCCCCTCTCCCCTCAATCACCCCCTCATTCTCGCGAGGCTTTTCACAGGATGCCCCCCAAGAAACGCCAATCGGGCCCCCCCAAGAAGGCCCAAGAGGCCCCCGGGACGACCGAGGACGCCCCCACGAGACGACCACGAAACACTCCAAACGCCCCGAATTAACCCACGAGAGACCGGAATCCCCGACGTCATATATATATATATATATATATATGTGTGTGTGGATGTATATCGATATATCTTTATGTCTATATATACATATATGTGAGCACATACATATATATGTACATACCTCTATATATATATATGCCTATCTATGTTTCACTATATATATGTGTATATATATATATCCGGCTATATATATATAGAATACATCCACCTGTATATACATATATATGTATATATATATATATATATCGATAGATATCGATACATATATATATATGTATATACATATAGATCGATCTATTTATAAAAATTATATATATATATTTATATATCTATTTATATATATATATAGATATAAATCTATCTATCTATCTATCTATCTATCTATCTATCTATTTACCTACCTATCTATCTATCTATCTATCTTTAGTTCACAACTTCGACCCCGGGAGGTCTCGACCCACTCCCGAGGGCCGGTGGTTCCTCCCGAGCCGTGCATTTCAACAAAATCCTCGAGGCAGGCGAGGGCGCTGGGAGGCCGAGAACAGCAGTCGTGTTTTTTTTTGTTCACGGCGCGGGGAGGTCCGGAGAGCACCCCGCATCCCCGAGGCTGGTTTTTTTTCATGACGCTGGTGTTGCCTCGAGCGAGGGTCCGATGCTGCTTTTTTCATGGCGCGAAAAGGTCTGGAGGCCCTCACGACTCCAGGCCAGGCCCCCTTGGACGGCCCAGAGTCGTATGAGAAGAGCATCGCGTGCTCCTACTCCACGCGTGGTGCCTCCATCTGGGGGCGCCGAGCTGTCATCTGCGAAGTCGGAGGTTGTCAGACTCCGCCGTGGAACAGTGTAGCCTGCACGTGGTGATCGGGACTGCCATCTTGTCATGTGAGAGCTGTCTCGGACTGCGTTCTTACGTACTTGGTTTTCGAGCATTGGTAGCTTTCCTCTTGTAACTGGACTGTATTGCACCTTGCATACAAAGGAGAAGCGCATAGGTTGCATTAAAGAGGTATATACGTTTCACCTGGACGGTTTACCTTACGTAGAAACCGCAGATGCGGATAAGAGTGAGGGGGCGGTGGGGACGTCGGCAGTTTGCGAGACTGAGGTGGATGAGGAGGAGGAGAAGGAGGAGGAGATGGAAGGGAGAAGGAGGAGGAGGATGATGTGGATGATGGAGCAGGCAGGAGGAGGAAGGAGGAGGAGGAGGAGGGAGATGAAAGGGAGTTGCAGGAGAGGACCTAACGGGAAGCAAGCGTGACGTGGACTTGTCAGAACGTGTGCGAGAGGTTGTCCGGCCCGTTTCGTTTGAGACATCTTTCCAATACTGAACTCCAGGATGTCGCTCGGGAGGTGGTCCGGCCTGTTTCGCTTGAGCCATCCTCACAATGCGAAGCTCGAAGATGTTGCGCGCGAGATGGTCTGGCCCGTTCTGCCTGAGACGTGTCGTAGCACACGGGCTCCAATCACACCTTTCTTATTCCTTCTCCCGCCTCCCTCTCTTCCCGCTTCCAGCCTGGCTCCTCTTCCCTCCTCCCTCATCCCGCCTCCCGCCTCCCGCTGCTGCGCGTCTGGCCGCACTGAACGGGCACGCAATCGACCTTGGAAACCGCAGTGGGTTTACAAACCCTGTTTGGGGATACTGCACTCGGGCTAAAAAATTGTTAAAACAATGTGGGTAGGTCGCGGGTGGGTCGCAAATGGGTCGCGGTTGGGTCGCGGGTGGGTCGCAGGTGGGTCGCTGTTGGGTCGCGGGTGGGTCGCCGGTGGGTCGCGGGTGGGTCGCGGGGTGGGTCGCGGGGGGTCGTGGGTGGGTCGCGGTTTGGGTCGCGGGTGGGTCGCGGATTGGTCGCGGAGTGGGTCGCGGGTGGGTCGCGGGGTGGGTGGCGGGTGGGTCGCGGGTTGGGTCGCAGGTTGGGTCGCGGGGTGGGTCGCGGGGTGGGTCGCGGGGTGGGTCGCGGGGTGGGTCGCGCGGTGGGTCGCGGGGGGGTTGGTCACGCGGTGGGTCGCGGGTGGATCGCGGGTGGGTCGCGGGTGGGACGATGAGAACAAACAACAAAACAACAACAACAACAACAACAACAACAACAACAACAACAACAACAACAACAACAACAACAACAACAACAACAACAACAACAACAACAACAACAACAACAACAACAATTACTAGCACGTGGGGACACACCGTTCTCACCAGTGCCAGGGTTTTCATAGGAGGCGGGCAATACCCCCACTTTGTGGGGGGGCCGGTTCAAGCTCTACCAAATTTCCAAACGACTCTTCGCCACCACCCACACCCAGCTTCCCGCCCTATGACGTTCGGACACTTCACTTCGTGGCATGCGGACGACCGTGGCTACTATTCAGGGCCCCGCGGCCGACGACGACGGCGTGCGCGCGCGAAGAAAAAACGAATGTGTCCCGCATGGTATTATTTGACAGGGATGATGGCCCTGGCAGGTGCGCAACCGTTGTCGCAGAAGTTCGAAAAAGTTGCTCGCAAAAGCCCGTTTGACAGAAATGTTTAAAAAGTGTTGGGTTTCCTACGAATCCGCAAGAGCGCGCGGGATGAGATTTTGACAATTTTTTGTTGAAAAACCATTGGTTTTTTGATGTTTTTATGTTAAAATCGCTGCGAACACTAAGGTTTTGGAAGGATTTCGTCTTGCGCGCGCGAATGTCCACTTTACCTTATTTTTTGCAAGGGATTCTTGAAATTTGATTATATTAGAACAAGAAATGTCATTTTCTATTGTTTTTTGCAAGGGAAAGCGGATTACAACAAAACAACCGGATCCTGTACACACCCTCTTTTCTGAGGCTTCCTCACGAAAATGATGAAAATGTAGCTGCGGCCTAGGCGGCGCAGGGGGGGCGCGCACCAGGGGGCCCAACAATAATTATTCTTTAGAATAAATAATGTTCAACAACAACAACAACAACAACAACAACAACAACAACAACAACAACAACAACAACAACAACACTACACCTACAACTACAACTACAACTACAACAACAGCAGCAGCAGCAACAACAACAACAACACTAACAACAACACCAACAACAACAACGCAACAAGCAGAATCCTCACCACGGATCCTCATTTCAGCCACGCACCCAGGGACGATGAATGACCGTTCGGCCCCCTCACTCTGATACAGTTGTATGGCGTTCAGGTTGGCACCAAATAGCGTCCGCCTAAAAGTGTGGAAGTTCTTTACGAATGATGTGCAAGTCCCACAGGAGGTCTGTGTAGCATTCAATGCAGAATCCTACGCGGGCAATGCACGGTCTTCAATTGAGAAAAATATATGTGCCACATGAGAAATGTACAGCGTTCATATGAGTCTGCATGTGGGAAGTGCCGGTTGTCACACAAAGTTTGTATAGCTCCCGCACAGGAACTGGATCGGTTTCGCACAAGAACCGCATAGTTACACTTTGATGTTCCCACCAGCCTTTTGGGCTAAGGTGGTCTAGCGAACCCACTATTCCTCTTCAACAAACCCTCTTCCCTTCGGGGAGGTTTACCTCACCCCACCCCACCTGCCTGGGTATGGACAGGGTTAGAGCGCCCAAGACGGCCTAAGATGGCCCCAAGATGACCAAAGACAGCCCAAGATGGCCTCCAAGATGGCTGAAGATAGCTGACGATGGTTCAAGATAGCTTCCGACAGACTCTCAAGAGGCCAGAGGCCCGACGAGGGTTCCAAGTGCTCTTGGAGCCCCTCTCAGGACCTCAAATGTTCCAAGTGGGCCCCACGAGGCCAACATCCGTCAAACACCTGGCAAAAAAAACAGATCGTCTGATGTTTCGCCATTTCGCTTCCGATGCGCTTTCGAGGTCTCAAGATGGCCCCAAGATGGTCGGCCCAAGAGGGCCCCAAAAAGCCCCCCAGACGGCCTCAACGGCCCAAGAGGGGCCCAAGAGCGCCCCAAGGGGCGACTTTGATGACCCCAGGGGCAGGGGAAAGGGGGGAGGGGGGCAAACGTTGGGACCCCCCTTCCAGAATGCCTCCAGAGACCCTCCAGGGCCCCAAACAAGCCCAAAAGGGGCCCCAGGACGGCCCCAGGACACATTCAGGAGCGCTCCAAGAGCTCCCCACGAACGTTTCGCTCCCTCCTGCCTCCTCCTCCTCCAACTCCTCCTCCTCCTCCTCCTCCTCCTCCTCCTCTCCTCCTCCTCCTCCTCCTCCTCTCTCCTCCTCCTCCTCCTCCCCTCCTCCTCCTCCTCCTCCTCCTCCTCCTCCTCCTCCTCCTCTCCTCCTCCTCCTCCTCCTCCTCCTCCTCCTCCTCCTCCTCCTCCTCCTCCTCCTCCTCCTCCTCCTCCTCCCCTCCTCCGCCTCCTCCTCCTCCTCCGCCTCCTCCTCCTCCTCCTCCTCTCCTCCTCCTCCTCCTCCTCCTCCTCCTCCTCCTCCCCCTCCCCTCATCTCAGTTATCCTCCTCCTCCTCTTCCTCCTCCTCATCATCACCAACATCATCATCATCAGCCTCCTCGTCATAATCGGCATCATCCGCATCACAGTTAGTCACATCACCATCAGCATCGGCAGCAGCAGAATCAGCATCATCCTCACCAGCATCATCGTCACCATCACCCGCATCAGCATCATCACCCGCATCACAATCATCAGTCGCATCATCAGCATCATCTGCATCACCATCAGCATCGTCATTACAATCAGCAGCAGCAACATCATCATCATCACCATCATCATCATCAGCAACATCATCATCAACACCATTTGCACCATCGAAACAGCATCAAAACCATCATCGATATCATCATCATCATCATCACCATCATCATCATCATTATTATCATATCAATCAACATCAGGATCGTTTGGGGGATGAAAGCATCGTTCCGCAACCTTCGTTTTCAAATCAAAAATCCGGGGCTCATTTTCGCACGAAACAAACGTAGGTTTCATAGAATTCTGCCAAACGGGCCTCTAGCACCGCATGCAGACATCATTCGTACGCGCTTGCGCGCGTGCTGAGATGAAACCAAGCGGGCCACTCTCACGCGTCGGCCGGGCGCGCACGTCGAACTCTTTCCAAAACCTCCATCACCTACCCGAGAACGCCGTCATCGTCGTTGGCGTGATCAGCATCGGCACCCGCACTGGCCGCGCTTTCGCCGGCGCCACCGCTACTATCATCATCGTGTCTACCGTTGTCGACGTTGCCATGATACCGCGCCCGCCCAAGCCGCCGACTCGTAGTGAAGTGCCCGTTGGGATGTGCCCAACGGTCAGCGCCACCGCGGCCGCGTCGGTGGCGCCAATCCAATTGGCCGCTGCGCGCGCGTGCTTGGGTTGGCGCAGCGGCCGCAGAGATGCACCAGCCAACGCCAAGCATGCATCGCAATCCCCACCGCATGGGTTTTGCAAACCAAGTTGCGGGTGGGTGGTAGGATGTTTGCAACAGCGTGGGATGAGTCAACTCGTTTGTTCGAATCACTACACAAAAATAGACTCTACCCCCCCCCCCCAACCCACCCGGATTATGGACCCCCTTTTTTTGGTAGTGAAATGTACATATGATTCCGCCCCACCGCCCATCCCAAATATGAGCACATACTACCCCAGCTCGGCCAGCATCGCCCCCCCCCGCGGTCCCCTGCAAAAACCCAAACATCATAAATGGGACGAAATGCACACGCGCGCGTCGTCGCGTGCGTTTGCCGACATCCTTACAAAACCATTGGTGTCGCAAGGATGTCAAATTCGAGTGCCAAAATATCATATAAAACCTATGGTTTCGCAGCACGGATCCCAAACACAAACAAGAACAAGAAACAACGACAACAAAAACATGCGCGCGCGTTTTTGCGAATTGTTCAGAAAACCGTGCGGCTTTCCAACAGTTACAGAACATGATACCAATCGGGCTTCCAGCGCGCATGTCGAAATGGTACGAACGCTGTTGCGCGCGTGCCGTCGCGAGAATCCTTCGCAAACAACTGGACGAACAGCGCGCGCGCGTCGTCGCGCGCGCATGCCGAGATCCGTCAAACACCGGAGTCTTCACAACGATTTCAGAACCGAAAGCCCAAATAAACATGCAACAAAACACTTGGTTTCGCAACTTCAGCCTTCAAAATAGCGTGCGCTCGCGCTCTTGCGCATTCTTGAGGAAACCACTGGTTGTTCGACACGTTCATGGAATACTGTCAAAGGGGCCTCTGGCACCGCATGCCGACATCATTCGCACGCCCTTGCGCGCGTGCTGGGGGGCACGATCCGTGTCAAATAACACCATGCGGGCCACGCTCGCGCGTCGGCCGCGCGCGCATGTCGAACTCTTTCCAAAACCTTCATCACCGACGCGAGGACGCCGTCATCGTCGTCGGCTTGATGAGCATCGGCGCCCGTACTGGCCGCGCCTTCGTCGGTGTCAACATCGCCACCAGCATCGCTACTACAATCATCGTGTCTACTGTTGTCGACGTTGCCATGATACCACGCCCGCCCAAGTCGCCGACTCGTAGTGAAGTGCCCGTTGGGATGTGCCCAGCGGTCAGCGCCACCGCGGCCGCGTCGGCGGCGCCAAACTAGGTGGCCGCTGCGCGCGCGTGCTTGGGTTGGCGCGGCCGCGGAGATGCACCAGCCAACGCCAAGCATGCATCGCAATCGCCACCGCATGGGGTTTGCAAACCAAGTTGCGGGTGGGTGGGTGGGATGCTTGCAACAGCATGGGATGGGCCAAATCGTCTGTTAAAACCAATTGTACCTCGCAGCTTGCACCGCCACTGTGAGGGGCCCGCGCGCTGGCACCACTTACTTCGTGCACTTGCGCGGTAAGGTCAGCACCAGCAGGCTGAAGCGGGCAAGTCCGACCTGCGGCAAGTCCAGAGAGCCGATAGCGAGCAGGGAGGCAGGGGGCGGCATGGGGTACACATGGAGCCACCAAGAAGCCTGCGGGGTCGAGGGAACACGGGGCACGAGGGCGGGCGGAAAAGGGCAGGGACCGGCTTGCGCTCGCAAGCAGCACCAGCGCTTGGCCCAACCGGCCTGGGAGCTGAGAAGCCGAGCACTCAGGACCAGACGCACCCCCGCCGCCTCTCCGCCCGACAGATGGTGAGCAAGGTGGCGGGCCGGGAGGCAGAAGGGGGAGGGGGAGGAGGAGGAGGAGGAGGAGG